TATTTTTTATATGCAATGAGAGTTTAATTATTAGCTTTGAAAAAAATGAATTGCTAAATTAAAATAAACATATTTAACGTTAAATCCTGCACTCAATGAGAATGTACTCCCTGCAAGTACAGACAGAAACCAAGATGGCAGGCCAGAGCGTATTTCTTTGATGGAAGTGTTCTCATTATTTTGAACACATGGAAGAAAAGAGAAGATTGTGATAGTCTCAATAGACAGTGATTTACTTTACAAAAAATACAAAAGTAGTAAACACACTGCTTTAAAGTTTCATTAATCTGTATATACGGCATGTACCACCATGCGGCATGTACCACTGTAGCTCTGGGGTCAGAGAGTTCCCAGCAGATAACATTATCCTACATTACTATTTTTTGATGTGTCTTTTTAAAGGTAAATTAAGGTCATTCAGTATGTTGTTAATTGCAGAGCTTAGACTCTTATTTATCTGGGGTCACCACAACGGAATGAACAGCCAACAATTCCGGATGCACCGGATGCCCATCCAGCCACAACCCAGTACTGAGAAACACCCTAACACATTCACACACATTCATACACTACAGAAAATTTAGATCGTCCAATTCACCTATAGTGCATGTCTTTGGAATGTGGGGGAAACCAGAGCACCTGGAGGAAACCCGCACGCCAACATAGGGAGAACATGCAAACTCCACACAGAAATGCCAACTGAGCCAGCTGGGATTCAAACCTGTGACTTTCTTGCTTTTATTATTATTATTTATTTTTTATTATTACCAATATTTTAATTCAGAACAATTTACAGTTCATTGATGCTTGCAGAAGTTATTATTTCACTGATTTGCCCTAATGTGATGGGTATTCGACAAGAGAAAAAACTCCTGGAATTCTAGTGAATACTCAGGCTTTGATTGTGCCAGATTAGATGTTTAAACTGTGCTACACGTGCAGCCACTCAATCACTTCAGCTTAATAAACAAGACCACCAAACACAGGAAACATACAATATAAACTCACTCATTACTGTGCCAACAGGGAAAGCTGGCAGGAAATATCTCATGAAGATCTGTCTGGCTGATCTGGCTTGATTTTGATGCTGAGATCTAAAAGCTAACTAACATATAGGGCTGGTTAGTATACTGAATTAAGATATATCTATATTTTATATGATATGGTATGAGGAAATATTGTTTAGATCAATCAGCAATAGTATGATATAAGCAACAATAGAAGAGGACACAAGAGTGAGCTGCTAAGGGGAAAGTGCAAAATCCAATTAGTCCTTAAAAGGAGTCATGTTTTTATTAATGACTAAAATAAATTGTAATATATTGTTAGCACGTATAGTTTGAAGTGTCAGATGCTGACAGACAATACTTGCAGTGTTTCATAAGATGCCTAACCTAAATTTCACAAAATTGCCAACTTTAAATGTCACAAAGTCATTTGAATGTTTTTATTTTGTTGTCAGAAGTGAATGAGCTTTCCGGATGTGAGTTTCTGCTAAACTTAAAAGGCATTATTCCTGCATTTAGATTTTAATGTAACATTGTTAAAATGTTACGCGTCAATCTGTTTGGGACATAATGTGTATATAGCAGCATATACGGTTTACATAAGTACACCATAGTGGTTTTTACAGCATTTAATATGAATATATTCTCATTGGAGCATATGTAAGTACTTTTTTAGAATATGTTATTTAATCAAAATATAGAATCTATGAGATTTATATGGGGGTTTATACAGACTATAACTAATTAGTCAAAAAAATCATAGATTAAATGTTTTGGGAGCATATAACCCAGCACTATGGACATATATACACCAAATTCTGTCAAATTATTATTAATAATCAAATGAAAGAGAACACAAGTTTGAGCAAAAAATGTTCAGGAATGTACATGAGAGGACAAGGACGGCAAACGCTCTGCAATTTTTCAAATGAGGTTCAACAGTTCCACAGGATTTTTCTAAGAAAAAGAAAACAAACGGATGTAAAACTCATTGAGTTGAAAAACCCAGTGGAAAGAGACAGACTAAATGGTCTATTCTGTTGTGTATATTTATTTAGGAATTTGAGGAATTATTTATTTTGGTTTGTTCGGGTCTTCCTGCGAGCTGTGTTTCCTGAGGTGTTCACTCTGAGTCACTAACTTATTTCTAGTCCAAACAGAGAAGTCAATTGGAAAGTGTCCAGAGAGCATGACCATGTACAAGAAAATGTGGCCCAATGTAAAGAGGTCATGAACTGAGAAATCTAAATTTGCTTGGTCTTTTGACTTGTAACGGTTACTGTATTACAAAAATATCAATTTCAGAAATCAAAACTTTCTCAATCAAAAAACAGCTTTATACTGAATTGTGGAATGTCCCCTTTTTATTATGTAGCAGGATGGATTGACCCAGCCTGCTTCTATATTACAGCCAATTTAGCTCCACCCACATATTTGCATGAGTAATTAGAGAAGCAAATGTGCAGAGCCAAGTTGTTTTTCTCTTTGCATTCTTTCTGATCCCAAAATAATAAAGTCTGGATAAACTTTATTTTTAACTAAGTTCCAGGCCACATAAAAAAAATGTTTCTTTTGGTTTACTTAGTTTTGCCATTGATTCCTTTACAAACTTGACACGATTCCACACAGTATTTTCTAAAATACTGATGATATCATTCATTCATTCATTTTCATCCTCTTTTCTGGGGCCGGGTCACGGGGGCAGCAGTCCTAGGAAAGAACCCCAGACTTTTCAGCCTTTTTCAGTTTAGTCATACTAAAACATTCGATTTTAAAAAGAGGCGTGGCAGGTGGCACCCAACCCCGCCCCTAAACCCAACCATTATTGGGGATGAGCAAATTGTATTCATATGAATTAGCCGCTAAATCAAAAAGTTACAAATTGCTGTGAGATTGTGTTGGTAAAACATATGCCTGAGTAGTTAGCGGTTCATTCCGCTGTGGCTACCCCTGATAAATCAGGTACTAAGCTGAAAAAAAAATGAATAAATATATGAATATATGAATGAATATCACAACTATTTAAACCATGTGTTATCCAATGAGGGGGTTGACCATAAAAAAGCTTACTGAATTATGTTGTTGATGTCAAACTCTTAATAACATATAGGTGGAGAACAGTATAAATAAATAGAAGCAGTTCACAACCAATGTACACACCAGTAAGGAAGGTGCAAACCAGTCTGAACAGTCAGAAGAAATATTTTACTTCACTCTAGATCAACATCAACTTCTAAATAAAAGTGCACACATTGTCTCCTTGTTTATTTCTGTGTGACAATTTGCTCTGTGCCGTCTTGTTATCATCCAATCAATTCACACTGGAATCTGACTGAGTGTGAGCACAAACGCACGCACGCACGCACGCACACACACACACACACACACACACACAAAACTAAGCAACTGTTAACATTTGATAATGTGAGCTACTACTGAGACACAACTTTTTATTAATATATATATTTTATGTCCTAACATGTACCAGTTTATAGTATGCCATTGCAATGTGTGGATATAAGAGTGCAAATGATTTTGGACAGTTATTTCTTTTTTATTACCTTTGAATAGTTTAAGAAAAAGAGAATTAAATACAGATTGTTCCATATACACTAACTGACAAAAGTCTTGTCGTTGATCCTAGTTGTAAGAGCATCAAATAATGACTTCTAGTTAATCATTTGGAAAAGTGGCAGAAGGTACTGCAGAAGACCTACTGGAACTCGCATGGACCCAAGATTCTCATAGATATCAGTCAAGTTTTGTGTAGGAAAAATCATGGTTTGGGGTTCCATTCAGTATGGGGGTGTGCAAGAGATCTGCAGAGTGGATGGCAACATCAACAGTCTGAGGTATCAAGACATTTGTGATGCTCATTACATTACAAACCACAAGAGAGGGCAAATTCTTGAGCAGGAGAACGCTCCTTCTCATACTACAGCCTCCACATCAAATTTCCAGAAAGCAAAGAAGGTCAACATGCTCTAAGATTGGCCAGCCCAGTCACCAGATATGAACATTATTGAGCATGTCTGAAGTAAGATAAAGGAGGAGGGACTAAAGATGAATCCAAATAATCTTGATGAACTCAGAGTATTGCAGGAATGCTTTCTTTGCCACTTCAGATGACTTTAAGTTTTGTGAAACTTAAAGAAGAAAGAAGAAATTAAGTTATCTGAGTCATAGCAGAGATGTATGGATGCAGTCCTCCAAGCTCATGCAAGTCATACACAATATTAATTCTTTTTCCACTGCACCATGACTTTATATTGTATTCTGTAACATTATTTCTGTTTAGTGACAATACTTTTGTCTATAAGCAAAGCCAGACCTTAATGTCCTAATGAAATAAAAATGGCAAGGTATGATCATATTTTGATAAAATAAGTGTAATTTAGAGGCTTTTGCTTTTCATATCAGCTACTTCTGATGCCAAATGATCAACTAGAAGTCAAGTTATTATTTGTGTTTGCTAAAATTTGGATAGGTAGTGTAAAGATGTATAACATTACAGTGAGAGAGAGACCAGGAGCCAACGAAGCAAAGATTGAATATCTTTGGTGAGATTTGAAAGAAGCGATACAAACAAACAATACAGTAAGCTTAACTCCTTTGTACACTAACAGTTTAAGGTTTGAGGAGTGTCAGACACTTGTAAGAACTTATAGACAACATTTATTTTAAGTTATAACAAATAAAAGATTTTAAACACTAGACGTGTTTACCTGTTTCTGTTTGAACTCAATAAATTGAATGAAATGAAAATGAAATTAAATCATCTTTTTTTTTTTTTGATGGTCAACTGAATCCTTTCATTTTGCAGTTGTGCTTGTAATAAACTCTTATTTAAACATGCATATCATACAACACTCCCTAATATGGAAAAACCCTTGCAATTAAATCATAAAACTAAAGGACTTTGACATTTGATGTTTTTTTTTTTTCTGACAACACTCTTTCGTGTGAAAGTCCCCTTACATGACAATTAAGATCAAATCTTTACAGTCAGTTTTAGCAAGCACTGCGTCAACATCAGTGTCCAGAAATATCCAGCAGCAGAACTTTATTTACATGAAGCAAGCCTTAATCAACCAGATATACACTGCTATCAAAGGTAAATATATTGTCATTGCTTTTCTCAAAACATATTTCTAAAATAACTTATATAATGTAAAACAGGCAGCTTTAAAATAATTACAATTATGAATGTAGAAATGCAGGCAGAAAAGGAGATCTAATATGGAAATTTACGTCTCTCTTTCTCTTTCTTTCGTTCTTTACACATTCACACACACACGCACATCTATCAAAGTTACAGTATTCCAACATGGCTCTATAAAGGTGTTGTGTTCTAGGAGTCCATAAATTCCAGCTGAGTTGGAAAAGTGCAAAGACACTGAAACACTACCGAAGGAGAGCAGGTAACACAAATTTGTGCCAAATTTTTTTAGTTTTTATTAAAACTTAGGTTAAAATAGCCAAAGTATTTTGGCAAGTAATCGCCAGATTCAGATGTTACAGTAAAGTCATTTTTTGAAACAATGCTATTTTTTTTTTTTATAGAAAGAAACATCAAGAGTTAATGAATGAATCATTGTTTTATTCAATGTTTTTGGTTGCTAAAAGTAAACAGTTAAAAGTATGGTAAAACTAGTGTTGAATTTCAGTTAATAATGACAGTTCAACATAACCACAAACTATTTATATTTTTATTGTATATATGATATATTATAGCGTGTGTGTTTGTGACCTATCAGGACACAAATCTGTAAAATGACATAGGTATGACAGATATTACAAGAAGGTGGTGACGAGGAAACTGCTGATGTCCTCATTTTTCAAAAAGCTTATAAATCACACAATGAGCTTTTTTTTAGAAAGTAAAACTGTACACAGTTTCCTGTGAGGATTGGGGTTAGGGGTAGGGTGAGGTTAGGGCAATTCAAAATACAGTTTGTACAGTATAAAAACAGTGGAAGCCTATGTAATGTCTCTAAAATTCACAAAAACAAGTGTGTGTAATTGTAATTTTAGGATATCACCAAATGTACTTAAATTCATTTAGCATGAAATAAAACTGTGCTTCTGTAACATTAAAGAACATTATTTCATTTTGTGACAGTTTTCTTTATTTTTCTCCTTTACAGCATCAGATATAATTCCTCAAAGGGTCGAAAATGGGTGGTACTAACACAAGAGCTGAAAAAGCAGAGCGAGAACGTAATGAAGCTCAAGCAAAAAAGCAAGAACTCGAGAAAGAAGTTCAAAAGCTACAACAAGAAAAAGAGTTTCAGCAAAGAACAGAAGAAGAAAGGAGAAGAGTGGACACAGAGAATAGAAATAGAGAACAAGAAGAAAAGACGAGGATTCACAGAGAAAAGGAAACTTAACCACAAGTTATCAACACTATCAACTAAAGTTTCTGTCAACAGTTCTTTAGTGAAATAAGAGAAATTATGGGAGCTATTTATTGTGTAATTGCCCATAGAGAAAATAACTCATATTAGACTATAAATGATTAAAACATTAAAACAACTATGACATTGTTTATTCAGATCTAATAATGTTTCAGAAAACATGATATCAATATTATCACTTTCCACTGTAACTTCAGAGCACTAGTGATGTCAAAAAAGGTACATTATGTGTCCTCACCTTAAATAAGAAACCATCATCGCAATTGTTTTTGTCTGAAGTGACCTTGAAACATGATACACTTTTACAGCATGAGTTACAAAGGGTACTGTTTACCTATGATTGCATGACAATTTAATCTATGTAAAAGAGAAACTAAATCATTGTCTATTGACGTAATACTTGCAGATTCGTAAAAAGATGCTTAATAAAATACTTCAACAGAACACTGAGGAGTTTTTTATTTTATTTATCGGTACACAGAGTAAAATTCAGAACTGTGATCACAGAACGTTAAACACTTTCACATGTTTTGGTTATATTCATTCTCCTTCGGCTTAGTCTCTTTTTTAGAGGTCGCCACAGTGGAATGAACCGCCAACTATTCCAGCATGTTTTACACAATGGATGCCCTTTCAGCAGCAACCCAGTACTGAGAAACATCCATACACACACATTCACACACACACACACACTATGGCCAATTTAGTTTATTTAATTCACCTATACCACGTGTCTTTGAAGTGTGGGGGAAAACCGGATCACCCGGAGGAAACCTACGCGAACATGGAGTCAAACCAGCGACCTTCTTGCTGTGAGGTGACAGTGCTAACCACTGAGCCACCGTGACACCTATTTTGGGTATATTTTCAAATACATACTTTCACATTTATGTCCTAATATTTGAAGCTTTTGTAAAGATATACATAATATTTTAGAAAAGATTTTAAACACTTGTTGATTTCAGTTTTGAGGTATTTTAATTTTGGGTAAGCCGTCAATGTTTTTCTTGGAAAGGAAAAATAAATATATGTATAGAATCATCCTTGCTACCACAAGCCACCACAAATGCAGAATTGGATTGGCGTTTTGAAAAATATATTAATTATAGAAAGAATTACATTCTCTGTGAATAACAAAAAAGAGACATTTGTTGGTTTTTGGTGCAGTTGGCTTGAGTATATACACTCACCGGCCACGTTTTTTAGATACACCCTACTAGTACCGGGTAAACCCCTCTTTTGCCTTCAAAACTGCCTATTCCTTCGTGGCAGAGATTCAACAAGGTCCTGGAGATATTCCTCAGGAATTTTGGTCCATATTGACATGATAGCATCATGCAGTTGCTGCAGATTTGTCGGCTGCACATGCATGATAAACCACCAGTCTGAACCGTTGATACAGGGCAGGATGGATCCATGCTTTCATGTTATTGATGCCAAATTCTGACCCTACCATCCGAATATTGCAGCAGAAATCGACACTGATCAGACCAGGCAACGTTTTTCCAATCTTCTATTGCTCATTTCTGGTGAGCCTGTGCAAATTGTAGTCTCAGTTTCCTGTTTCTAGCTGACAGGAGTTGCACCCAGTGTGCTGCTGTAGCCCATCTGCCTCAAGGTTTGACATGTTGTGCATTCAGACATGCTCTTCTGCATACCTCGGTTGTAACGAGTAACGGGCTGATTAGAAATTTGCATTAACAAGCAGCTGGACAGGTGTACTTAATAAAGTCTTGCTATCAAACATTAACATTTATTTTAATGTAAATATTGCTTCCACACCCCCTTTTCTTCTGTGCATAGTTTTGGTATTAATGATTTAAGATAAGGTAAAGGGGAATGTGAATCTATTATTCTCAAATAAATTAGTTTTTGTTTTCATTTCTCTCTGAATTAAAATGGGGAAAGTGATAAAAATGACAAATGTCTAGCAGATGATTTGTTTCAGTACATTGCTCGAAAAAGAAGCTTTGAAAACATTTCATAACTGCCATGCCCCTTGATACCATTAAATCTGCCGTTTACTGTTTATAGCAGGTCAATGGTCATAGAACTACTGATTTACAAAACACTTTAAAACACCATATACCTAATTAGGTTCTTCTGATAAGGATCAACTTACATCCGAAAGTGAAGGTAAAAGTGTAGAATTGCTTTTGTTTTAGTTATCTAACTGCTCATGATGCCAGGACATTATGACCTGATTAGACATTTTGCATTGGTCCAAGTACCTTTGCTGAAACTAAAACCTTTTGCACATTTATTTAGTTTATGCAAATGCATTTTATTTACATAAACATTAAAGAAAGGTTCTATATTTTGCTTCTACTTCTTTTTTTACAGATATCAACTCTGTAAGAAGGCAGATTAGCTGTATCTTGTCTACCCAATCACAGAGTTGCAAGGAGTGGCTTTGATATATAAAACTGCAGAGTTCAGATGTAAATGAACAGTGTCTAAGCCAGAAGCGGACAGAACATTCTGAAGTAATATAGTGGGGGGAAAAGGTATGTAAGCTTAAATTACAATATTTTCATCAATGCTGTATTTCAAAATGTCATTAAAGAAGGGAATTTAAAAAAACATTGTTTTTAGCCAAAAGTAAACTATATATGAATATAAATGTAACCACACTGCCAAGGTGTGTATATATTTATTTTAAAAAAAGTCAAGTGAAGCCAAGCTGCAATGTGTTTTCAAAGCTGAAAGTTTATAAGATTTAATATATCACAATGTCCTTTGACCAAACCAAAAGCTTAATCTTTATTTAAAAACTGTATCACAGATGAGATAGACATATGTTGTGATGAGCTTTTGAAGGTATCTGAGTGATCGATCTAAGAAGCATTACAATAAGAATAACTTTGTTGTATTTTATAAATGAATACTTGATTTATAGCATAATATTAGTAAAAGTTTTGTTTTAGTCTTATGAATTATTTTACAGCTTTCTTAGGTCTAAAAGCACTTTCGTTTTCTCAGAATATAGCTAAGAGACCACTCTGATGACTCAGTAAATCTGAACATTTATAATAACTCAATGAACTTTACACTAGAAAGATGTCTGCAACTGAGACCATTGAACTGGCAAGTCTTGGCCGACCATTTCAGCTGGGCATGCTTTATGACTGCCGAAGAGATGTCCTCATTCCAGGTAATAAAAAGCACATGGAAATGCCAACTGATAACACAGTGGAGGAAACCATTCAAATGAACTGAGTTACTACTTTGTTAAATACTATCTCTTATATTGGGTTAACTTATGCAATTTTTTTTAAAGGAATAACTCTCTGGGATGCTGAGATGCTGAAGAAGAATATTAATGTACGGCCACAGCCCAATACTGACTTCAAAATCATTGCCTCAGATTCAAGCGAAGACAAAGCAGAAGCCTTGAATATTTCTGCATCTCTTGAAGCCAGCTTTATAGGTGGATTAGTTAAAGTGAAAGGGTCAGCAGACTTTTTAAAAAATAAAAAGAAATCTAAACATCAGTCTCGAGTGACCTTACAATATCGAACAACCTCACGTTTTGAGCAGTTAACTATGGAGCATCTGGGAGCAGGGAACATAAAGCATTGCAATGTACTGCAGGAGGGCTCAGCCACACATGTTGTTACAGGTCTACTGTACGGAGCTCAAGCCTTCTTCATTTTTGACAGAGAGGTTTCCTCCGATGAAAACCATCAAGAGATACACGGTGAGCTCCAAGCAGCAATCAAAAACATTCCTTTAATATCAGTTGAAGGTCAGGCATCAGTGAACATAAGTGAATCAGAACAGGATAAAATAAATAAGTTCAGCTGCACTTTTCATGGAGATTTTGCCCTGGAGAACAATCCAGTGTCTTATGTGGATGCCATCAAGGTGTACTCAGAGCTGCCAAAACTGCTGGGTGAACATGGAGAGAACACTGTGCCTATAACCGTGTGGCTTTACCCCCTGAAAAAACTAGATTCACAAGCTGCACAGTTAGTCAGGGAGATCAGTGTCAGTCTAGTGCGAAGTTCACAACGGATCATGGAAGAACTGGATAACTGTGACATTCACTGCCAAGACCTGATGAGGGACAATATCGCCACTCAGTTCCCCGAAATCAAAACCAAATTAAGAAAATTTAAAGACCTTTGCTCAGAGTATAAAACTGTTTTTCAAAAACATCTCTGCAGTCTTCTTCCATCTATCAGGGGTGGAGGAACAGAAGAACAAGAGCTTGTTGATGTTCTGAATGACAAAGAAAGATCCCCATTTCAGGGTGCTCTGGTAAACAAGTATCTACAAGAGCGAGAGCGAGAGATGAATGTTGTCAGATCTTACCTGGACATCATGAAAGATGTTCCTGTTTGTTCATCCAGCAACGACTTGGACAAGGTTGTCTTGAAGCCATCCAGTCACTATGTCATAGCCTTTGCACTCTCTTCCTTAGATGAAAATGAACTGTACATTTTAGACTTGGAGAATTACCTGAAAAATCAAGCATGCAACAATGGAGAGCAAGAAAGTTATGATCAAAACTCTTCAAAGAAGACAGAGAGATGGTTTTCCTCAGGAAACGTAACTGCACTTACCAGGGAAACTATACAGGCCTTCCTAGATTTTAAAGAAGCCAATAGAGGAAGAGAGAATATTGAATTCTGTATTGCATCAATCCCAGATGAACTCAGCTCTGCTTCTTCAATTCATGTGTATGAGAGAGGCATACTCTTAAACTCTCAGTTTGAGCTTCCCTCAAAACCACCAACACCGGTCATCTTGAGTGCTGAACATGACTGCATTAATCTGCAAATCAATCCTCCTGACCGTGGTGTAAGGTTTGTGACCTCCTACTGTATCTCATATCAGTCTGCACAGAGCTCTGAATGGACAGAGGTGTTTACTGAAGGGGTTTCAGATCAGGTCACTGTGAAGCACTTACAGCCGAATGAAGAATATCGTTTCACCTGTAAGGCTGTGTGTCGTCCAGGAGTGAGTCTAGCAAGTGACTCAACATCTTTCTTTAAGACTCGTCCATGTGCTCCTCCAGGAGCGCCTACGGTGAAAAGAGCTGAATCTGAGTCAGTAACCATAGCTTGGGATGTTCCTACATCTGTGGGTGAAGATGTTCTGGTCACTGGTTATGTGCTGGAGTTCAGAGAATATACAAAAGATCAGGAAAACGAAAAGCGATGGAACGCTGTGAAATGTACAAGCAGAGAGTGCACTCTTCAGGGACTGAAAGAAAACACAGATTACACAGTCAGAGTTTCTGCTAAATGTGGAAATTATGGAGAGAGTCTCCACAGCCCCAAAATGATGTTTTCAGCCAGTTATAAGAGTAAACCATCAAATAAGGATGGGAGTGAGCTGTTCGTGAATCAAGCAACAAGAATAAAAAAGGGAAATCCATCAACCCATGCACTGACACTTCACAACAAAATGGTAGAAAGTGTCCATTTTAATCAGTA